CAACCCAACATACTGTTTAGTATCTAATTATGCACGACCGCCAAGGAAACAAAAGCCGTGACACTATATGTTTTTACTTGCTGTAATTTTCCTCGTCATATTTGTTCAGTGGACGGAGAAAAACCAAGGCAGTGCTGCATGCAATGAAAGGTAATAGCACCTTTTTCTGAATGGCTGTACTTTGCTGCACACACTGCCACCTAGTGCTTCTTTTAAGGTGAGGAACCCCAGGTAAAAAATGCAGTGTGTTTCTTTTTCAACCAATAATTTAAATAGGGTTTATATCATTTTAAACATTGCAGAACTTTGAGTATTTTTTTAGGTCGTTACATTTTAAAACAAAATTGATATTTCTCTATCAGTGTTTATACTCTTTGTTCATTGGCTACGAAACTTGTAAAATTAAATATCTCTAAAGCAATATATATGTACATAACAGAACATGATACATTTGACCAGTTTTTACGAAGAAGACGCTTAAAATGTATTCAGACAAGAGCTTATTTAAGTCCCTTTCCCCTCAAAACTGTGTTTTCTTAATCTTCACTGTGTAGAATGATGTAAGTACTGAGTTAAACACGAATGTTTTCATATTCATCTGCTGAAGGGGGGAACTTTGCTTGGTGCTCACTTTAAATCTGAGTTTATAAATGTATGTACACGTATGATTTTGTGGCATCAAATAACTTAGAGACAAATCAAGATCTATTATGCAACTTCCACCAGTGTGATAGGGAAACCTGAAACTGTAAATACCATACATCTTTAGTGGTATATGAAATAAGTCACACTTCTTTATTTATATGAATCTTTAAACCCTTAAAAAACACCTCTCATTTTACTAAAAGGCTAAAAACTTGGAAGCATTTTGTTCACTTACAGTGAGAACACTGTGCAGCACATATTTATTCATCAAGTATGGGAGCTTACAGACAACAGAAAATCGAAGAAACTGCTGTTTTGTGGGCACACACTCTTATTACAAAGAAACTAACTATTGCTGCTGCTATTGTTGCTGTACTTTTGGTATATTAAAACACTTAACAACATGTGAATCCTGAGTCTTTGTGCTTTTAAACTGTGTACAATTTGCTTCAGAATGGGATGTTGCTATTCAAAATGCAGCAGCAGAATTTTTACCCGACCTATATTTGTGTGAAGGTGATAATGATGGAGAACAAAAACTTGCTACATCTGCATGGCTACATCTACTACGAACAATACGTGAGATGATCAAACTTCGTGGAATATTTAATGAACAGATCCAAACAAATGTAATATCTCAGATTTGACCTACCTAATTGGGGTTCCTTGCCTTAAGTTACTCGCTTAATTATTTACTCTGACAATCTGTCACATGTTTTTGGGCCCTGGGGGCACAGTCTGTATGCTCTTGTATTTTCTGCCACATATAAGGAACAGCTGAATGCACAGAAGCTCTCTGCTAATCAAGGCAAACCCAAGAAAGCATTCTGCTGTTGTTGCAGCTATTCCCTGATGCACAGTTCCTTGTCATTTTCAATTGCACATATTGAGATCATGGTTTGTTTTGATTTTTATTACTGTTTAACCCACCTGGGAACTTGATGCACGACTGGGAGGGAACTATGTCAGGCTGGCGAGGCAGAAGAGGGGAGGACGGTAAAGAAATGGACACACCCTTGGTTAGTCTCTTCCGTTTTACCGGGCTTTCGGTGTAGCCGCTGTCACGGTCCTGGAAGTGAGTGGCACGCTGGCCGCTAGTCCTCTGCAAGGTGCTGTGGGTGTACACCTCACCACCTACATTGAAGACATGGAAGAAAGTACAGAAAAGAAAGAGGAGGGTAGATGCTAAAGTTAAAGAGGCATAGTAGAAAGCATATTTACAAAAGCCAAGTTGATTCAGAGCTGTTGCTTTGCAGCAGATTGAACTTATCGCAAAGAGAGCAGTAGCCTATAAAATTTCTCTCACATAAGGCTGCGACAGAGCAAACATAACTTGTCTTGGAGGCATATTGCTGAATGAGGTAATGGAAAGTTGGCAATGCCAGAACATCTATTTAAAGGAATGGGATCACACTCATTAAACAGGCTACACTTATTATATTTCAGTTCAATATTTCAATCATTTTCATGCCCAGTCTTACGGCAGTAATTAAGCCTGATTTTGAGTCTTGACACTGACATTATGCACGAGAAAGCCATGTGATTACAGAGACCTTATTGCCACTTATTCTGATCATCCTTGAGTGCAGTAATTTGGCCCGTAGTGTAATTTAGTCATTCACTTCCTCTTGCCTTGAATGAGTCTGTTGTTGCTGTTGATGCCCACTACCTAATATTACAAATTCACACGACATGCTGTTGCATAATTCCTGTAAATGTAGAAGAATCTTTTTAGTAAGAGGTATTAAAAAGAAGTCAAGAAGTGACATCTCTACAAATGATCAGAGCCATACCACTGCTCTGTAAACATACTATGTGATTTTAATGAGACTGACACACTTCTCTATCTTCCTCTCTGTTCTTGCAACCCAGTGCAGCACCTGATTAAATATTAATGAGCAACATGGTTGCTCTAATACTGAGCTCTACTTATGTCCATGCATCTCCACTGCGCACTTAGAAATCTCTTCTGTACTGCAGCAAATTGACAGGTTCACCCTGTAAAAAATACAAACAGCCTCATTTCAACGGCAAAATATTCAAAAATGTGAACTTCTTTTTTCAGTTCACATTTTACTGACAATACAACAAGCGTTCACCTTGTTTACAGCAGATAGAACACGTTTATACCAGGTTTTTCTCATTTAGTTGCAAGCCACAAATTCTTATTAAAATCAGTATGTGTTTAGTAGGTCAGGATGTTTGCTTAACCCACTCTAACTTCGCCTGACACACTTTAAATGCAAGCAGCGGGACACTGTGTAAAGGACGGAACACGCTGATGAATTAGGCTAATTGAAATGGCTCTACTTAAATCACCCAAGAGAAGAGAACCTGAATATTACCATCAATTAATACAAGACCTAGCGTGCACAACATACTATAAATTTCCTCATATACACATGTGTGACCCATGGCAAGAAGCATATTGATTAAAAAATCTGATAAAAATGACATCAAGGAAATCCCAGGATATCATAGGTTCAGATATCATTAAGAATACGTGCCACATTTCAGATACGCAGGAAGTTTCAGTGGTTTTGCTCTTACCTGAACGTCTCTGGTTCTTCTTTTCCCCTCGTTTTCCTCCCCCTTCTCTCTTGTTTCCAAATACTGCTCTGAACATTGCTGGGCTTCACTGTGCACTGCCTGTGGAAGAAAAAGTAAAATCTTAATTTGCATTAGGAGCACATTATTTCAGGCAACATTACCCCCGCCGTTAGATCTCAATCCAACTGCCTGAGTGCCAGATTTAAATGATGTTTTTTTTAAAAGACAACTGTCTAGTCTTTATTAAATTGTTTATTTAAACTAATTATTGGCACATACAAGTGAGAGCACACATACAAATTTATGACACCATAAAAATTCTGTCTTTAGTTACCTGTTTTAAGTCTTCTTTGGTGCCTCCATGTCTTCACATAAATCCACAGGCAGCTGATATGAGACCATTTAAACTTGCAGAGTCCAATTAAGAAGTGATGCACCTCCACAAAATGATGAAAGAAGAGGGAGGGAGCGCCCGTTGTGCACATGCGTGTTTGCCTCTTGCTCAACATTTGTGACCTGGTTTGATCTTAAAACTTGGGCTATTTTTTATTTTACCTCCATTATTTATTTCACCAGTAGGGTAAACCAGGGAAAGACGCCCCCCTGAACAATGTCTGTTCTTTTTGATTGAATATCAATATAATATGTATGCAAGAGGTATGAGGAACCAGCATTGCTATTATGAAACTAAATGTGAAATCTGGAAAAGGAACATCTTCCACCAACTCACAATTCACTTTAAACAATACAGATGCATTACTTATGTATAAGTTTACTTACATATTAAAATGTTGATGTTGCTGACTTTAACTGCAACAAAAATGTCAGATAACACATAGAAATTATTTAAGATTTTTCTTTTTAAACGCTAGATTATTGCAAAATTAAGTTTACAATTGAATAATTATTCATATTGTGTCTATTCATGACATAAAAATATTAAATAAATACCAGATAAACATGAATGTTTAGCCAACAGTAGCAAAGAATTGACGCTAGCTACCTAGTGCTACAGCATGCTATCATAGCATAACATTGTTAGCTTAACTTAGAGTCAGCTAGTTTGTTAGTGCTACACCACAGCAAGCTACTGTAGCATAACATTATTAGCTTAACCTAAAGTCAGCAAGTTAGCCTTTTAGACAGATAACCCATTTAACTGCTAGCTAGCCGTTCTGTCTGTATAAGTTGATAGTGTACTTATCTCAAAAGTCTTCTTACATTTTCACATATTATAGAAAAAGCTTTTGTTATTTTTTTTTCAATCTGATGGATAACCCTACACATGACTCTTCTGTTAGCAGTTAAGAAAAGTTTGTATGTATACTCTGTTAATAAGAAACACAGAGGATTATTTTGTAGTAACAGATTATTCCACCATTTTACCTCAAAACCATTCCTTTTGATTTCCTCCGATCCGTGAAATGATTTCAGTACTATTTAAAGATTAGTAGAGGTCACTATCATCCAAAAAAAAAAAAAAAGAACTAAGATGACAATTAGGCGTATCCAGTTGTCAGAAGGGGAATTTTGATAGGGGGACTTCTTACCCTGGTTTACCCACTACAACTTATTTTTATTATGTGTATACAAATACAAAAGCGCCATTTTTATCAGAGAACATGATCACAACAGCATCACATAAGAATAACATTATTTATACCAAAGCAGAAAAAAATAAGGACAGAAAAACGGAAAAGAAACACGAGTAATCTCCTTTAGTGAACACCAGGGGGCGACAGTGCCAATGGCAATTTCCGGTTTATCCTGAAGGAGGCGACAATGAGCCACAGCCAGTAACCTATATAATGTGGAGGCTAACGTTCGGTCGGTCCTTTCACTGATTGTACCAGCAGTGCAAGTTGAGGGGACGCAAAGTCATCTTTAGTTTATAATGCAGCACAATCTCGGCGCTTCAAACGTGTCCATCGACACGACAAGCCGTAAGTACACAACGTAGCTCTGTCAAGTTAAACTGAACAACCGTTAATGGAGCGTGTAAAGTTTTAGCGTCAGTCAATGGACACGTGTAAAATTAGCTAGAGCCATTTTGTACCACTGCTTAGTAAAGAAAACCAGCTATTCGATATTATGCCACAATAACGTTAATAGTTAAGTAAGCGAGTAATGTCCCGGGGTCGTGAGAAAGTAAGTGGCTTTTAGAAAAGGGGGGAAAACGATCCAACGGGGCTGTAAAAGTCAGCATTGCACCGGATGTGTCTCGTTGCTGCTAGCTAGCTGACGCGAATGCTAACTTGATGTTTGTGGCTACCTGCAATATAATAATCCTGCCATTTCAGAGGATTAGTTGAGGTGTATTAGTATTTTATCTCACCACTAAAAGTCTGGCTCATTTACCCTGGACGACAGTGTGATGTTAGGATTCTCGTTTACTTTTAGTAACTTTCTTTTTGCCATGTTAACCCTTACATCAACAAATTAAGATACAAGCTAATATCCATGTCACGAGTAAACAAACTGTATACTTTATTAGTATCTACCAAAACTGTTTAATAAATGTTGTAGTTTGTGTGTATTTGCTAAATTAAGAGACATAATTTCATTTCAATTGCCCCACCCTAGAAACCTAACTTTTAAAGGCCATAGGGTTGACAGTTTGAATTTCACAAATAGGCTGTCAAATAACCTCTTTTTTTTTTTCCTTTGCAGATCATGGAACATTTGGTGGACATCTGTATGAGCCAGACGGAGGATGATGTCTATGTTTGAGCTTCAGCATTATGTCCTAAAGATGTCTGTCATGGCAGTATTTACTGGAGGAAGCGGGTCTGAGATGGATGATCCAACTAAAGGACTGCGACCAAGTCTTGTGTAATGAAATGTACGCATAGATATGTTTACTTCAGAGATGTGCGATTAGCTCTATTTTTGACCAAACTTGGCCTGTTCTCTAGCTGCATCTTTGACAGCCTGGGCTCTCTGATGTGAGACATCCTGGGTTTTAATATTTCAGATGCAAGATTAAATGTCCCTGCGCTTTCTGCCCGCCTCTTTTCCATGGCGTCTCGGATTGAAGAGGGGAGGATAAATCAAACTTGTATCTGAACATGAAAGTCTTGATCTGTGCACATACTTGTGAAGAGCCTGAGAGTAACATTTTTCTCCATTTTCAAGCTTGTGGAGATAAAAACCAGAGAGAAGATAGTGAAGCAGCTGGGTGACAGTGCGGAGGAGACTTGCAGAGGAGAGAACTGATACATTCAGGTGAACACTTGTGATATTGTCTTTTCAGTCGGTGTTCATTTTGAATTTGCATCCACTGATAGACCTGAAGCAGGTTTCATTGGCTTCTGGGTTTGCATAGAGATGCTAAACTGAGCCTTCCTCGCGCTTTCTGACTGCTACATTTTATAGCAGTACAGATTGAATTGAGGAATACATTCTAGTTTTTAGGCACAGTCTGAGGTCAGACTCACAGTGGGGTGTTGAGTGTGACTCGGTATGTTTATTATTTTATTTCACCCCACTAAATTAAATTGATTCCTACCCACTGCTCATAGATCTAAGGTCAATTTTCAGATATCAGCCAAGCATCCCAGTCCCTGTAAATGTCTCGTCAAAACATTAGGGTCATTAGTTGTCTGTAGGAGTTGCTGAGATCTGGATGTGCTGTTGTTGCAGGATGTCTGCTTCTGTGACATTTTCACACCGTTTGCATATTTTTCTAAATGTTTAATTTCCTTGCAGGTAACAAGGAAGATACTGCCAAAGTCTCAGAGCTTGGACAAGTGGAACATTTGTTTCTTCTTCTCCTCTTCCAAACAAACCTGCTATTGAATGTTTTCAAATTGTCGTTTCGTTTGCCATGTCAGGTTCCTGGCAGTTTTTAATGTGCCAGCAGCATTTATTTTGCTCATAATGAATCTAAGCAGCATGAGTCTGCAGTACATGCAATATGTCAAACTGATATCACTTTTGGCTTCTAATAAAAAAAGCTGCTCAACTCAATCTTGTGGGGTTTTTTCTGAATTTAAGAATAAATTTAATGTTGAATTGCAAATACTCTATAGTGACGTGACTGTTAAAATGAGCAGGTTTAGGAAGCTACAGGTTATCGAGGTAGGAAAGCAAACTGTACTTTCATCTCCTCTGAAATTGGTGCTATCACAGCAGTTGCCTTGTAAATGTAAAAATAAGCACCACTTATGTGCACTGTAAAGCTCATTGACAGAAAAGTCCTTTATGCATGAGTGATGTGCAATTGACAAAATGTGGTGGAGATGTTTGGTTGTTGCAAATTTGTGTTTGTAGTGGTTCTACGTTTGCAGTGCTGGGAAGGCGTGTTGTGCTAATGTTCATGAACCAAGTATTCTTGTTGCTTAAATACAAAGTACAGTTTAGGAAATTTTACGAATGAAACACATTTATTGCATAAGTCAATCACATGTAAAACAACCTGAAAATACACAACATGGTTTGATACAAGAACAAAGCACAAACTTATGATTACAGTAATGCTGCTCATCTTTTTGTCAGCACCAGTCTGCTGAATTTCTCATAGTGAGGGGAAAGTCGCATTTCAAATGGAAAATATTAAACGGACTAGAAAAAGACACCATATAAATTTGGTGAGAGCCACAACCAGTGTAAATCCTTCTTCTTCATAAGGTCTATCTTGTCTTATCCAATAAAATCCCTTCTGGATATACAAAACACTAAAAAAGAATCCACTGCCATGAAACACAATTCCTTAATTCATCTCATGCTTCACAAATGTTATGTCCTATACCTCTGATGGAAAAAATAATTCAAATAGTGTGGTCTCTTACCTGGGGGGTGTGCTGGAGCTGTGACACATCAGGAAAAGAAGGTGCACATAAGCTTGAAACCTCTTTCACATTGCTCCTTCTTTTTTGTCTTCTACAAAATTAGCTACTTAAACTTCACAACAACCTCGCCTTGTAAATTCAGCCTTTGCTTGATCTCATCATCCAGTGTGTCTTTAGCCTGACATCAGAGAATCAGGTCCAACCAAGGCCTGGTCTGGGAAGGACCCCCAATGACTAAAAGAAGGTAGTGTGTTGGCCTTGGGAGGGTTGAGAACTATTCGTCTGTTTTTTCCTCGCCTTGGTAATGTCTGTACTCTGGCTTGAGCTCCCAGGTGTTCTTGTGTGTTCCTTTCACATTGTAGATACCAATATCGCGCAAGATTTCCTTCAAGTAAATCTGAGAGAAAAAAAAGAGCAAATATTGGTAAAGACAAAATCACTTGTTCTCAGAGAGTCAAAGCTATAATCACTGCGTGTAATATTTAAGGATTCCCACAAGAAAAGGCTGCATCAGAAGGAACATCTTTAAGATTTCAGATACCCAATTTATATTTTAAATATTACATACACATATACCAATATCTAACTGTATAGTGGGTTGTGGTGAAACAGCAAAATCGGCACGCTGACTATGGTTAAACACACTGTGATATTAAGAAATGTTTAAAAAAAAAGCCATGACCTGTATTATTTTAAATGACTCAGATTGAATTGCTTTTGCGGTGAGTAACAAGCAGCATTAATCAAATGTTGTGCCCTGGACTAAACTCCCAGTTCATCATCATGAATGGAATTTCCTGGGCCAACAGCATTATTTGAAATCTGTCAGTATAAACAGCATTGTAAGCCAAAGCCACTCATGTTGCCCTCTGGTCTTACCACAGGCTGTTTGGTGATATCCACCAGGTCTTTGATGTTGTAGTACTGGTGCTTCTCGAAAGCGGAGAACAACATGTCCAACACCTGCTGTTTGTCGGCTCTTGCCCTCTTGCCCTCCTCCTTCTTTTTCCTCTCATATTCGCGCTGCAGCAAAAAGCAAACAGACAGAGATCTGGTATCACGCATAGGCCTACACATAGAGAGGTATTGAAGCAGCATAGCATGTCATCTTTTATCACAAATCACAGTTTCCTCCCTTTGGTTTCCATTCAATTAATATGTTTAACAGTCACATGCTGGATTTCTTACATTGTAATCGTGGTTGGCCACAGGCTTGTAGTTGCTGGTGACCGCTTTCTCCAGCTGTTGTGACAGCCTGGCCGGCTTGGAGGACTCTTCAATTTGTAATCTATTAGATGATGAGAAGTACTTTACTTGCCAACTGAAACATATCCTGTGTACAGTGTCACACATGAAATTGTTCCATTAAGATGTCAGTTCAACACCTAGAGTACATGCTCATGCAGAGCTATGTTCTACATTCGTGCAAGTGAAACTCAAGTTCGTATCATACTAACTTAGGCACAGACCAATTTAAAAATACTTACTTCTTCAGCCTCATATAACTTTCACTGACAGCAGGTCTGCACTCTGCTCTCTGCACTACCACCCCCTCTAGGGCTATTTTATCTGCAAAAACAGAAGGGTTAATTAAAATCTTGATTTAAAAAAAAAAACTTTATGTTAACCAATTGTGTGTAAAGTGAAGGGATGAAAAGAGACGCAGTAAGTGAACAACTGGGCAATGGGGTTGAAGAACAAAAAAACAGAAGAACAAAAGAAACACAAGACAATTTGCATTTGCTAGTTACTAGAATCTAGATCAGTATAGGCTCTCTGATGTTCAAAGATGTTAGAGACATCAAAAGGTCAGCTGACTTGTTCCTTTAGTTGCTCAGATACTGTAACTCTGCTCATTAATAACGTCATTACAGCAACACCCATTCAAGTGGTAAAGTTAGCACACACAAATGCATACTCTTTCTACAGTTAATTATGATTTTGTTAATGCATTTCTCTTTCTTGTAAAAAAAACATAAGTAGTTGGTTTCCAACTCTATCTGGCTCAGAGTGAAAGTCACACTGTACCTTCAATGTCCTTTATGTTATACATACATCATCCCACTATGACAGACATTTTTTTTTTTTTTTTTAGTTAGAGCAAGAGGGTTTTTGCTAATTTAATCAGTATTGTGGTCAGTAACTGAACAATATACTTAAATAATGTCTTAAAATTGCTGCAATTTCTTTCATAAGTTCTCTTAATTGCATCTTGTGAAACTGTTAATGTACACTGCTTTGCATTTACACACTTTGTCTTTCAATACATAGTTTGTTAACTCACTGGTCAGGGAAAAAAAAAAAATCTTATAACACATCTCTGAAAGCAGCACTCAGTTACAGCATCTTAGTAACATCAAAATTTTGTTCTGAAGGAGGTTTAATAATGCACATAGTACAAAAAACTAACACTCAGTACAGCCAGACATCACCTGTCTTTGCCAACATTGCCACAACTGAACTGACATCACAACCAACACCACAAGCAGGCAACACTCTGCTCAAGAGCAGTCAAGACCTGGTTTAACCACACAGACCATCTCCAAGACGATTGCAAGCTATGAACAGAAGCTCTGCATGAACTGTGCAATTATGCTCCAAAAGAGAAGAGGCCTGTGTTCTGCTTCAGGACAAAACTCAGCACTACATGCGAAGAATGTGTCAATGGTTTTGGTACCAATACATGCATCTTCCACAGCATGTATATGGCGCATCATTGTGATACCACAAATAGCCCTTTTTACAAATGAAAACAAAAGACGTTCAGTGCGCCTGATTCCCAGTGATACAACTTTGTCACTTGCTGGCGAAGCGGAGGACTCACCTGGACCTGCCCCCGCCCCCGAACCTGAGCTGCTGCCATCAGATCTCTCTTCTGACTGGCCTACAGGGAGGGAGGGAGGGATGGTAAACATGAAGATACAGGGGATGGGAGACGAAGGAAGGAGGGGATCGAACAATAAGAACCACACCCAGGGTTTAGTCGCACACCAAAACGTTTAATCACACAGAGCTTCTCGGCATAATCTCTGACAAGCACGCGTGTGCGCACGAGCAAAGCAAGCATGGCCTGACAACAAGCAAGCACACACACCCCGTCCCGCCACTGATACAATCCATGACAGGGCTGCACAAATACTTATTTTGTGAAATTACCTAACAGATTATAAACACTATGCCACCAAAGCATGTCTCCAGTTTAAATTTTAACGCTTTTATACTGTCTGCTCATATTAAATTCACCAAAATGTTATGAGCAGACAGTGTTATGCCTTTTATGTTATATGACTGTTTTAACAACTGCCTTCTTAATCAGAACATAGTAGGAAACAAAGTCCATACCACATCACACCTTTTACCGTGCATACAGTTAAAAAAAATTACATAAACCATTTTAACTGTGCAGCCTTAACTCACACGCACACACACACACACACACACACACACACGCGCGCGCACACACACACACGGATCTCTCAAAGTAAGCACTGCAGTGCAGGTTCACCAGCACCCATAGCAAAGAAACCAAAACAAAAACAAACTAGTTACATTCGGAGTGCAGACAAGGCTGGTTAAATTCAAACTAAACCAAAAGAAACCCATGCACTAACTAAATCAACTCCAAATTCAAAAGTGATTTGTGTTGATATGCATCTACTCTACGTTAACTGATTTCAAAATGGTGCCATTGTGCCTGATCATATACACAATCGGCTGTGGTGATTGGCAGTGGACTGAAAGGGTCAACCCACAAAAAATGAGCGACAGATGATCAAACACTGAAAATGAAATTCCCATATATGTAGAGACAGAAACACAGATCAGACTGGATGAACACAAAGACTCTTCTGTTTTCCACTAAGTGTTCACTTGTCCACAGTGTACAGCACATTTTTTGCATGTACTCAGTTAAGACAGTGGACAACCTCACACTCTAGGAAAGTCTGTTAAGAGTTCACAACACACAGAAACAAGCAGGACAGGCGAGGGAAAGACTGTGCGTGAAGACAGCAAGCTGTACGACGAGCAGCAGGATCGGCACCTCCACCACCTGATCACACTGAACTTACCTCCTGGCTTGAATGAAAACATGTAGTTCACATTACAAAAAAACTAATAATGCAATTTGTAGACTGTTACAAGTGTCTCATTTTGCAGCAAAGGTTCTCAAAGCAAATACTTGGTTTCCTGATGAAACTTACCTGATGAAGTCTCTGTAAAGACCGCCAGCATCTGACCTCCCACTGACTGCATGGTGAACGGGTGTTCGCGAGGTGCAGACACCGTCTTATCTTCTATGCCTTCGATCACAGTCAGCTCTTCATTCAAAGTGAAAGACACCTGTAAAGAGTAGTGAGTAGTGTCAGCCACATTTTATCTTTCCAGTGACATTGAGGGTTGTGAGGGTATTATATAGTTCATACATTTACACATGTCTTGCACAACATAGTGAATATAAAGATTTTGGAGACGTGTTCTTGAAAAAAAAGCTTAGACTTAGTACAGTTTTTCACTTTAAACTGCAACTAAAATCAATGGTTGTGTGTAAAACAGAATTTAAGTAAGCCTTGAAACAGAACAGTTCTCTTCATGAAAGCTTTCTCTCTAGATCTGGTGTTTAGCAGGTATTCATGTTTCATCAATACTGATTACAGTGGATAAGTAGCTCTATACTGTGTGTACTATACTATACAGATCATAAATTATGCAAGTTGCTCTTTCATATACTGGCAAAAGCATATTCTAAAACATTTAGCAATTTAATAGTAATCAGATTATATCTTGTCTATTACTAAAACTATTTATCTTCACATTTTACTATAAGTGGAGAATGATATGTAAAGGAGACATGGTGCATGGCAGTGTACATATGCTATACATGTGAATCACTGGGATGCATAGTAAGTCTTTCAAACATTTACTTACCTCTGCTTTTCCTTGGTTTCCTTTCCTTTGAAATAAAAATACAACGAGAAATTTCAATTGACTCACTGGCGAGAATAACATGATTTGATATAATGTGAAATTTCTGAATAATAGTCATAACAAAACAGTGCTTATATAAATGTGTAGTTCACTAAAATTGTACCCTTCATCAGCACAAACTCAATTTACATTTTCTCTTTGCTTGCCAAATGTATAGCTACATGCTGTGTACTAATTCACAAACATACATAAATAACTTTGCAGACTTGCTTCTGCTATTTTATTGATGCTCAGTTATTTCACATACTTGCAAATTCTGAGTTTCCCGACCTCTCCTCTGCCCGTCGCTTTTGCCCATTGCTGAGAGAGGTATTTCGGTACCTGCAGGGAGAAACATGATTACATTTTTAGCAAGGCTACTTTCAGACCTTGACAAAGGGCCTTGCAGTAAGAACATGAATGTATCAACAATCTATCATACTATCTAACTCTAAATCTTTGGTGAAATTACAACGTGCTGTTGGGATGAATCAGTCACATCAAGCTAACATGTATGTTTCTCGAGCCACATTGGGAAAATTTTAGCACTGAAACAAGGCGTTAATTTAGTAGTAACTATATTATTCTGCTATCATTTCGAAAAAAGGTGTTCCTTGGCCATCTACATGTTAGATTGAGCAAATCATTACTAGTTCACTCTAATAGTGCCTTTTTTCAGAACTCAGCTCCTGATCTTTATTTACAACTTTGGATATATTGGCCAAAGACAGCCTCCAGTAAAAACCAGTTGTTTGCGGCGTAATGTGCATCAAAAATACTTTTCGATCAATAGTTTTGACCAGTTTAGCTAACAGTTAATGAACTTAGTCAACGTTACCTGCAACACATTATTTCATTTGGTCATAGCGGCACATGCTAAGCTACATTACTGTTAGCCTTAGCTTATTCTTAGTTTTTTAATTAACAACAGACTCGATATCCTACAAACTAACTAAAAATAGCACATACGCACCTTAACAAGCCACACACCCGTATTCTGCTTGGCTCCAGTTAAATCAACTTCTCCTTTTTCTGACATGTTTTAAAATTACGCTTCTGCGAAGTTATCGATGCAGCCGCCACACGCATGCGCACAAGGAATTTAAAAGTATGGCAACTCTTAAGGTCCATTTGAGTTTTTGTCATCCTTCGCTACTTCGCGACTCTTAACAATGTAGTTAATCAACAATAACGCTCACATGTAGCAATGCACTGGTAAAACACACATGTGGAGTTTAAAAACAAAACAACTTTAGTTAACTTAAAGAAAAACACGATTGCAAAAACAGGTTACAAGATGCAAGAAACAATTAAAGTCTGATGGAGTAGCTGTAACATGACTGTGTATATGACTGTGTAATTTGCACAAAAAGTTAAACATACAATTAAATTAATCAATCACAGTTGTAAAATGGTATATTTATACAAGGGTTTATGGCTGTGTAGGAAAAGGCTTTAGGCTGTTTAGGTTGTTAACCAAAGAGCAGTAAGGTTTAAGAAAAGCATTGTTTTAATAGGTTTTCATATACACAAACATCCAAAACATATGACGGGGCTAAATGAAAAAGAATCAGTTTAAGTCTGACAGACTTAAATATGGGCTAAAACATGTGTTAAAACTAAACTATCCTAAAAACCCCATTTATTTATTGTTTTAAATTAGACACTTACATTTGAAAAACATAACCTTAACTAAATTTAAAAGGTGTTATGCCATTGATCTGACTGGTACCTGCAGAAGTATAGTCCAATCTCAAAACATAACCTGATATATCACTGTAAGGAAAATATGTCATTTGTTTGCATTTCGGGGCTGCAAGGTGGTGCAGTTGGTAGCACTGTTGCCTTGCAGCAAGGTTGCCGGTTCACATCCCGGGATCTTTCTGCGTGGAGTTTGCATGTTCTCCCCGTGCAGCGTGGGTTCTCTCCAGGTTCTCTGGCTTCCTCCCACAGTCCAAAAACATGCTGAGGTTAATTGGTGATTCTAAATTGTCCGTAGATGTGAATGTGAGTGTGCTTGGTTGTCTGTCTCTAAGTGTAGTCCTGCCTTTGCCCTAAGTCAGCTGGGATAGGCGCCAGCCCCCCTAGTGAGGATTAAGCGGTGTATAGATAATGGATGGATGGTTTTCATTTCTTTCCATATTATTAGCCCTAAGACGGTGTCTGCTGGAAAACTGAATTGTCTGCCATGTCTTTATTGTCCAGTTTATTTTACCCCATACACCATAGAAACATAGTCCATGTTATACAAACCCTGTAAGAAAATTTTACTGGTCAGACCGCAAGTGGAGGTCTGCATGTTCATACGCATTTCTTTACATTTTGACAGTGTGTTACAGGAACATTCGGTCCTTGCTGTAGGAGAACCGTGTGTTCAGTTCCTGAGACTTCTTCAGCAACCGCTGCTTCTGTGCTTCATCAAAGCGGTTCACCTGCAGGTCTGCATCACGATCAAATGGCCTCCTCTCCACTGGTTTGTCAGCTTTCTCTTTTGCTTTTTCCTTCATTTTCTTTGTGTGCAAACTCATCAGAGACTCAGCACGTTTAGACTCCTGATAACAGAAAGCAGATTCAGAATTTTTGAGTTTAATATACATTGTAGAAATTGGAGTTATTATGGAGGAAAGAGTTGGGAGGTAGAACCACTTACATTATACTTAGACACTTTGTCTGCCATTTCCAAGTCCTTCCGTGAAACTTGTGGGACGTCGTCTTTCTCCGCCTCACCCTTCTTCTTTCCCTCTAGACGTTCCTATTGAGAAATAGACAAACCCATGAGATAAAGGAAAGTAATATACTGGCAGAAAGATGTTTTACCAATAATAAGCATAGAAGTGAAATATTTCTCATTAACTACCCTGGTCTTGCGCTCCCTGTCTGCTGGTGTATCCGTCCAAATGGAGCGATCCTTGTTCTCTGGGCCCGATCTCTTCTTAAAAGTTCGAGCCCCCAAGCCGATGTGCTGCAGCTCTGGTGGGAGTTCCGTCATCCATGTTTCTCTGGTCAGCACCTCAGGGGCATCCTGTTAATACAACATACACATGGGAACAAACTCAGATTTAAAAAAAAAAACAAACAAAAAAAAAACACATGAAGTGGGAACAGGATACTCTACATTTTGGGATTTCTCTTAAATTATTGTTTAAACTCGTGTTTGTTTGTTTTTTATTGTTGCTGCTTTAACTTTTTTTTTTCCTGTTCAGAGGTCAGCCTAAAAACAAAGTGCCTGTTAAAAGTATTAACCTGCTTTGGAAGTTTTCCCCTTTCATTACTTTTCAACACTGAATCAAGGTCAATTTAATTTGTGTTTTTTGACAATGAATAGGAGATCACCTAAGTGCAGTGAATGTGTCTCAAGCTATGTTTAGTATAAAAACCCCTGTATCTGGAAGGTCCAGTCACTGGTCAATCAGGACTCCTGGGCTATAACTACACCATTGATTAGAGTTCACCAGAAGGCATGTGAGAGACAGAAGTCAACTGGAAGAAGATTCTTCAGTCTGATGAGACCACAACTGAGGTTTTTGGCCATTATAATAGACACTATTTTTAGAGAACACCAAACATTGAACATGATCACAAACACACCATCCCACCAAGAAGCATGGTGGTGGCAACATCATCGTATGGCGAATACTTCTCAGCAGCAGGCCCTGGAAGGCTTGCAAGCGTAGAGGATAAAATTAATGCAGCAAGGTATAGGGAAATCCTAAAGGACAACCTGATGCAGTCTGCAAGAGAACTACAATTTGGTAGAAGATTTGTTTTGAAGGAAGACAATGACTCAAAGCATACAGCAAAAACAACACAGAAATGAATGAAAGACAACAAGGTGACAGTTCTGGAGTGGCCAGATTGAAGCCCAGACCTCAAACCATTAAGACTTTATGGCTGGATTTGAAGAGGGCTGTTCACTCATAATCCCTGTGCAACCTAAAACAGCTTGAGCAATTTTGCAAAGAACAATGGGGGAAAACTGCAGTGTCCAGATGTGCAAGGCTTACTGAAACCTATCCACACACACTGAAACAATCCTGTAATTTTGGCCAAAGGTGCATCATCTAAATACTGACTTGAAGCAGATGAATATTTATGCAATCATTTATTGTACATTTTATATTTTTATTAATTGACCTTACTTTGAAAAAATCTGTTTTCACTTTGACATGATCGAGTATTTTGTGTAAATTCTTGTCAAAAAGGACAAGAATTATATTATTGTATTATTATTATTATTATTATTACTATATTGACCATGATTGAATGTTGAAAAGCAACAAAGGGAGAAAACTTGCAAGGGGGTTAATACTTTCTACAGGCACTGTATTTAACTAATGGAATTATACAGTGCAGGCTATACGGATGAAAATCAGAAGGAGAACTATGAGGACTCACATCTCCTGTCAGTTTCTCTTTCATTCTCTGTGCTCTGCGCTCAAAGTCTAGAGCCACAGAGTCTTGAATTGGTCCTTTGGCCGGCATGGGTCCAATCACATCCTCGTCCTCTCCCTCGCTGCTGGAGGTCTCAGCCTTGTAGCCAGGAGGTAGGGCAGGCCCTGGAAAATCTTCTTCGTCTTCACCATCATTATCATCATCTTTTTCATATGCTGCTCTGCGAAACCCAGGAGGCAAAGCAGGTCCCAGCACAGGTGGCCTGAGGAAACACTAAGAAGTTAAAGCTTCCGTAATTAACTATGTATCCACACTGTTATTTCTATTTTTAATTCACTGAAAAACACCACCAGTTTAATTTGCACACCTTTCTGGTGAACTCAGCTGTTTCTTAAATCCTGGTGGCAAGGCTGGTCCAAAGAAACCATCATCATCTTCTTCTTTGTTCACCCTGTTCAGAAGACACACGTTACTGTTAGGTTTAATGAGATGTTTCTTTCTTTTTTTCTTTTTCTTTTTTTTGTTACAGTCCAGTCCAGCAGTGAACCTACTCTTCAGGTCTGTCTCCTGATGTGTGTCCAGTCTTGGCTCTTTTGAACGACACCTTCTCTTCACCCTCATCCGAGGAGCTCGACGGTTCTCCCCGCTTATAGCCAGGAGGCAACGCAGGACCAGCGACTACAGAGTTACAAGTATGAAACAACTGATAACCATTGGAAAAAAGCAATCTGACACAAATGCTTTTTATTTGTATTATATTTAGCCGCAAGTGAAGCTAGCTAATAGCTTCTGTCAAAATTTAAGTTGTCTTACTTACATTCTTCGTCACTATCAGAGTCTTCAGGATTCTCCTTCCTGAACATGGGCGGTAAAGCAGGTCCAATTACTTCATCAGACGACATATTTAATAATGATTAATTACTCAGTCACGTAGTTTCAGCAATTTCTATAAAAGTAAGCACACTGCTTCACAAACCACAAAAACCTTATAGAACGAGCCTCAACTTTCACACCGGAAGTAAACAGTAAGGCGTCAGACTTTTGTATCAAATTAACTGAAGGTAACAGCACTAAAACCTGCTGTGCTCCAAAATAAAAGCACAACAGAGTAAACGACAAAATAAGGTGGGCTATGGACCGTTTTGGACAAGAATGGTAAGCACGATTTCCTCTATAGACCTATTTTGCCTAAAATATCTTTCCAGTGGTAGAAAAGGCATTCAGATCTTTTATTTAGGCAAAAATATCAATACATAAATGCATGAATACTTATTTGCAATAAGTATTAACAGCAAAATGTGGTTAAAGTATTAAAGCAGAGCATTAGTTTGTTGTCTCTCACTTCTTTTACAAAAAAAATAGTCATCATAGTAGGAACAAATACATAAAAAACGGATATTTACTAATTTCATCTCAGACTCTCCAGATGCACAGATTTTTCAGTAGTGGTACTTCTCAAATTAACCTTCCACAAACGATATTATATTTTGAAAGGTCAGAGCGGAAGGATTCTGTGGGTTACTAGGAGGACCTTGACACCGGTAGTTCAACCTGTCGCAGTGTGCGCCACAACAGTCAGTCCATCTTTGTGGAATTTCAGGAGTACTTTTGGCTGTTATGTGACATAATTTGAGATAACACCCATTTAAAAGTTTTTAAAATGGGTAAAAGGGATAAAGGAGATCGGGGTGAGTTGCTAATGCTACGTTTCAACCTACCTAGCTATCCATTAGGCTAGCTAAATCAAGTTGAAAGATGAAGACTGTATTTCTATGCTGAGTGTTTCTGACCACTGGTGTGCTTTACTCGATGTACTTGAACGTTGCCACTGATTATTGCGTGATTTGTTAAAAGGTCAGTTATACCTAAAGAGTACTAGCTCTGGCAAGGAGGTTAGGGGTAACATGTTAGCTTGTGTGTAGAAATACTTTGTGCATTCCTTGTTTTGTCATTACATCTAAATAAATAGAAATGGTGCAAGAAAGTAATAAGGAGGGACAGTGCATTTATGTAGCTGATTACTGCCTAACAGCAAAGACAACAGCAGGCTAAAACCTCGGATTAAACACAATGTGGCACTTAACACACAGGGACATACACGCCTGTAGTAAAACATACCTTATCACAGATTACAAAAATCATGTAATCTGTGGGGTTTAAAGAATCATTATATATCATTATATTGCTTGAAGTGTGTCAAAATCCTAAAACAATAACATTGACAACGATGCATTTCTGTTTGCTATTTGTGCTTCACTGTGACTGAGAAAGATTTCCAACTCGTATATATTTTTGGGGTTATAGAGAAGAAGTACAAAAAGCGAACCTATGAGGAAGAAGACGACGAAGATGAAGTGGTGGGCAGCGAGTCTCAGGAGGCCATACCTGCTGCTGCTGGAAAACAGGTGGATGAGTCCAGCACCAAACTGGATGAGTATGGAGCCAAAGACTACCGTGCTCAGATGCTGTTGAAGAATGATCACTCTTCACGTCCACTCTGGGTGGTAAGATGGACTTTGATTGTTGATTTCCTCACTTGAAACACCTCTAGAAATGTTTTAACACATTATGTCAAGTTACGTCATGTCACCTTTTGTTATATAGCACATTTAAAACAACAGCCTTTGCGCTAAAGTGCTTTCCAGTGAAATAAATAATAAAAGGTTATGATTGGTGTTACAAATTAACCAGACAAGTTTAGATATCGGGAGCCAGCAGTGGTATTTATGGTCTGGTTTTTACCTAATTTATATTTTAGGGTTTAAAAATCTCATCTCATCTAAAAGTTATCTTAAATACTATTTTACCTAAATATAATACATAATAAGGCTGAGACCCTACAGTTTTATAAGTTATAGAGAATAACCTAGCTAATGTAATAATGTAGGTAAGAGCTTACAGTGTTACAAATTATGGGCCTTTACCTAACTCATATGAATATTAAGGCTAAGACTATACAGTGTTAGTAATTATGGAGACTAACTGAATAATTTAGAGCTAGAGTTTTGGCCCGAAAGAAATATACATGCAAATCCAAAGATTCGCTGGATCCTCTATGAGCTTGTTTTGTTGTATTTTAATTTTTTGCTCCATGTTGATTGTTTTGTTTTATAATGTTTTGTGTATTTTATTATTTTTCTAGGCTCCAGATGGACACATCTTTCTGGAGGCCTTCTCACCAGTGTACAAGTATGCCCAGGATTTCTTGGTGGCCATTGCAGAGCCAGTGTGCAGGCCTAACCACGTCCATGAGTACAAGTTGACTGCGTATTCCCTGTATGCAGCTGTCAGTGTGGGACTACAGACCTCTGATATTGTGGAATACCTGCAGAAACTCAGCAAGACATCTGTACCTGATGGAATTGTGCAGTTCATTAAGGTGTGATTTAGAGAGTATGTAGTGTTTTGAGGGAAGAAGAGGGAGGGATGCAGATATTGTAGCATAGTTTTGAAATTGTTGTGCAAATTTTGGTAGTTTAATGACAGCATTTATTGTCTGTCTTTCTTCCAGCTCTGCACAGTGAGCTACGGCAAAGTCAAGCTTGTGCTTAAGCACAATAGGTAAAACAATTTCAAAACCCATTCCCTGTATGGCATTAATTATCCCTTCAGCTGTCTTCTTAGCTGTGCTTCATGTCCACCCTCAGGTATTTTGTTGAAAGTGCCTTCCCTGATGTGATCCAGCGCCTTCTGCAGGACAACGTAATCCGTGAATGTCGCCTGCGTGCTGCAGACGGAACAGACACTGAGCTGATTACTGAAGTCATTCACAGCAAATCAGCGGTATTACTACCAACATCTTATTTTTTCACTCAAATTTTGTCATTGTTTTATTATTTTGCTGTAATAAATCATTTCATATTTGTGCATAGTGCCCAGCACTGAGTGAAGTCATGAGTGAAAAGTCTTACAATAAGAAGATTTCATTAAAATAGTAACAGTGCCGAGTGATGTATATTCAAAATTTGACACTTGGGGGCTCTTTTCTAAATTCATCTGCTGAATGTGTAAAGTTTCACTGAGGAGAAATGTTTGTTAGACAATTTAATCACATTTCAAATCACACCTGAGCATGATGTACCTTTGCACTATAGTTCACTGTGATGTGCTGCACTTCAGAGGTTGGAGAGAGCTCCTGCAGCTACTGCTAGATGTCCAACAGATGTTCCTCTTTCTGACAGATCTCCAAGTCTGTTCAGGAAAAAGGAGGCACCTCCACCTCAGAGCAGCCCGCCGATGGACAGACATCAACCCAGCAGGTCCCTGAGGACATCTTCAGCTACTATGAGCAGATGGATAAAGAGGAAGAGGAGGAGGAGGAGACTCAGACTGTGTCTTTTGAAATTCGCCAGGTACACATCTTGATTTTCTTTTTTTCTGCTGTATCACCACTACATACCAAACATGAGTGCTGGCCATTTTTAAAGCATGTCTGTCATACTTGAGATTTTTTGTAGCAGTATCCAATTCTTGTTTTTATTTAGGTCACCTAAATAATCAGATAATAATAATAATACGAATAAATGGTAAAGAATGGTGTCCATGGTCTTCAGCTTGGTTGTTTTATCCAGCAAGTATGAATCATATTTAGTTTACATGGGTGTAAAGCAGCAACGTGATGCGACAGATGGTTCATCACACAGCACCATCTAAAATGACGTTCTTGGAAACTGTTTGGGACATACTTGGCAGGTGATTGGATGAACCATCTGTCTGTCACGGGTTAACTCGCACCTAAAACACACCAGCTGCCTCCAGTAGTTACTCATAGGATGATGATTCTAACTGTGAATCAGCTACAAGTGCAGAGCTTGAAATTTGGCAAGATGGATTGTCTCATCATTGTGATTGTAAGAATCTTGTGAGAATACAGCTGCCTCTTAAGATTAAAAAAAAAAAAGAGAGAGAGAAAGACAGAGAAACGCAGCAAATATGCACATTTGAGAAACTGGATGCAGAGAAAATTTGTGTTTGTTGACGTTATTTCCAATTAAGTACCATGTTCAATAACATTTTTATTCTGTACTCTGAACTCTAGGAGATGATTGAAGAGCTGCAGAAGCGATGTATTCAGCTGGAGTACCCCCTGCTAGCAGAGTACGACTTTCGCAACGACACAGTCAACCCAGACATTAACATAGACCTGAAGCCCACTGCTGTGTTGCGACCCTACCAGGAAAAGAGCCTACGCAAGATGTTTGGGAATGGACGTGCTCGATCTGGGGTCATCGTGCTGCCCTGTGGTGAGACAGCTGCTGTACTGCAGTCGAGGGACATTGAGGAGCAAAACAGAAAGCATTTCCTTCCAGGAACAGACTGAAATAGCAAAACGGTAGAACTTAAATATGAAGTGTTAATAACAAGTGATGTAAATGCTGAAGCTCATAATTTGCTTATAAAAAAAGAGGGGGGTATAGTCTTGTCTTTTGCAGATGCTTAACCAAAACAATTAGTAATCTTGCAGTTGCATGAATCTCATATTTCTTCTCATCTTTGCTTGGCAGGAGCGGGCAAATCTCTGGTCGGCGTCACAGCTGCCTGCACGGTGCGTAAACGTTGCCTAGTCTTGGGGAACTCTTCTGTGTCCGTGGAGCAGTGGAAGGCCCAGTTCAAGATGTGGTCCACTATCGACGACTCCCAGATCTGCCGCTTCACTTCCGATGCCAAAGACAAGCCCATTGGCTGCTCGGTGGCCATCAGCACCTACTCTATGCTGGGTCACACTACCAAGCGCTCTTGGGAGGCTGAAAGGGTCATGGAGTGGATGCGGAGCCAGGAGTGGGGACTCATTATCCTGGATGAAGTGCACACTATCCCTGGTGAGCTCCAGACAACCCAGTATTACCTAATTGTATTATCGTAGCAATATTTTAAAGTAGTCCTTTTGGGTACAGTTAAATATAGATTGAATTTTGGTGAGCTAAATACACCTCTTAACGTTACCGTTCTGCGCCTTCTCTGTAGCGAAAATGTTCCGTCGTGTTCTGACCATCGTCCAGGCCCACTGCAAACTGGG